CACAGATGTCTTACAAAAAAAAACCATGAATCCATTTTTTTTTTGAGAGTGATGTAGTTCATTTTAAAGATCTGGCTTTTGTGTTTCCTTCTCTGGGAAGACTGTAGTTTTATAGTTTATTCAAATGTGAGTATCTGCTGATACTTGGCCTGCTCTTCGGATTGAGATGCTAAGAAAATGCTTTCAAAATGGTAATCAGAGGGTTTAGGAATGGCCTTGCCATGCCAGTGAGGAGAAATTAACATGATGTTAGCTTTACTGCTGTTGCAGGACTTAACCCTGTAAGGCTCATTGCTAAAAGTGACTGCTTGTTTTCAAAGGTAGCTATATTATTTCCTAAATCTGATGCTTTCCTTTGGCTAGAAAAACATACAACAATTGCTCATCAAATATGGTAGTAATTGAGGGAAGAGGTACAATTTATTTACTATGTGTGCATATGTGTGTATGTTCTATAAATGCATGTGTGTATGGTCTATGAATGTTTGTGCATGCTATGTGGACATGTGTGTATGGAGACCAGCTGTTGAATTCAGGTGCCTTCCTCTCTTCCTCTATTTCTCTTCAACTCCTCTTTTGGGATGAGCCTCTCACTGAACTGGGAACTTGCTATTTTAGCTCTTCTCCAGGGATCTACCTGCCTCTTTACCCCCAGTGCTGAGATTATAGATAGGTGCCACATAACCTGGAGATTAAAGGCCTATACGACTTAGAGTTTTTGTGCTAAGGGTATAGACTCTTGTAGCAAGCACTTCGCCTACTATTTAAATCAGAAATTTTGGTATAATCTTTTACTTAAAATGGAGATTCTTGGCCCCACACAATGAGCCATAGTTCCTTCAAGGGTATCTTACAGATCCTTCATTGTCTGGAGGTTGCCATGAAGGCCGAGAATCTCTGGATATGGTCACGCCACAGTCACAGAAAGAAGCCTAACATTGGGATGGGGGGTCAGAAGAGCACAGCTCTCAGTTGTCCTCAAAATCAGTGGTGCTTGTGTGGAGTGTGCCTGTTACTGATTATTGGGAATTGTATAATCATTTAACCTCTGTGAACATTTGTGCTCACATGATTAGCAGTCAGAGTTGTTATGGGAAAGATGTGTTGGACCACACACAGTCACCTTTTAATTTGTATGTTGATATAGGAAAGTATCAACACATTCTACTATGGTTATAGTGTATGTAAATAATTGCCATAGACTTAACAGAGTCACCCTCTTTCCTTATACGATGCTAAACATTTTCAGAATCACTCAGGTATCAACTGCAAGTTGGTTAAAGGGGTAAAAATCAGGCAGGAAAGGCATTGAGTGGACAGTGACATTTCAGGTCTGAATGAGACTCATGTGGCTTAGAGTCCGTAGAGGAAACAAAGTCCAGTTCAACAGGACAGCAGGATGCTATGTGGGTGGGGAAACTCAATTGTAACAGGAACAGATGGAACACAAATACTTTCTCTGGGCTTTGCCCAAGCAAGATAAAAAAAAAATCCATAAAGATGACACACTGAACATAAAAGTCACCATGGGCCCTGCAGAGGGGCCAGAAAACTGAGCCTGAGAGGAACCAAGTCCAGAGGAGAACGTTACCCTTGTCCCATTCTCAGTGATGACAAGATTCCTTCAGGGTCGTGAGTCCAGGCCTTGGCCTTTTAAAGCATCTTGTTAAAAATCTAAGTAGAAGACAGGATGCAAAGTATAACTTCCGATCAGAATACCACAGCCTGGGGTGGAGAAAGCCTATGATATATTGTTTCTGAATGGTGGGCCCCAAATTGCAGTGTTATGGGGGTATTTGAGTGGCCATTCCATTACAAAAGAAAGAAAATGTCAGTATTATGGGGTCACTTGAGTGGTCAGTTAGTTACTCTAGACAGAGGTCTTTCATACACCTCTGTATGTAAAATACCACAGCTCTTCCCTTAGCCATCCATTCCGTAGGTACCTGTGAAGTGCTTTCCAGTGTTTCAGACACTGCATAGGTAGATACCAGAGGCACAAGAAGAAGAAGAAGGAGAAGAAGAAGGAGAAGGAGAAGGGGAAGGGGAAGGGGAAGGGGAAGGGGAAGGGGAAGGGGAAGGGGAAGGGGAAGGAAGAAGGAAGAAGGAAGAAGGAAGAAGGAAGAAGGAAGAAGGAAGAAGGAAGAAGGAAGAAGGAAGAAGGAAGAAGGAAGAAGGAAGAAGAAAGAAGGAAGAAGGAGAAGAAGGATGTGTACCTACCATTAGGGAGCAATGGGGTAGCTGTTTACTGTACACGCGTGACAGTGACCTCAATGACCTTTGTACTCCTTTTGCTTCATCTCTTCACAAGGTGATCATAGCTGCTGTCATCAGGAGGTAGAAGAGACTTTCCCTCCCACCCATTCAAACCTAGGCTGATAGGTTGTTTGATCCATAGTAAGCATGGATGCAGCTTTGTCATTTACTTTAAGAATGATGGAATGATGTATGCGTGTGCATGCAGAGAGACCTGAGGTTGACGTTGGGAGAGTTTCTTGATCACTTTCCATCTTATTAATTGAGGTAGGGTCTCTCAGTTGAGCCTAGAGCTCACTACCAAAGCTGCTTTCCCTAGCCAGCTTTCTCTAGGGATACCCTGTCTCATGTCTTCCCAGGGTTGCAACCACAGGCAGCCTGTCACCCCCTGCCCCTCAGTATTCACATGGGTTCTGGAGTTCTGAACTTGGATTCTCATGCCTGTGTAACAAATACTTTTGCCACTGAGTCATCTCCCCAGGACACCTTTTTCTAATTCTGTCACCAGGCCTGAAGGTGCCTGATCTCTCTTCTCTTCCTCAGAACCTGTGGCCAGGATGTAGACAAGCTTGAGATAACATTGTAGAGCATGAGAGTTGGTGGGTCCAGCGATCCCTGCTGTGGTTGACTTGGATCAGGTGGCTAGCTTGAGTGAAAAACAGCTAAAACTCAAAGCACAGGCAAGCCTGGCCCAAATTACTGATGTACCATACTGTTGTAGTCTGTATAGATGGCTGCTTCTGGACTCTAGGCATTGGAATATTTTGTTGCACATGAAAAGCTTAATTAGATGCTTTCAGCTAGAACACGTGACTCCAAATTTAAGCTGGGTATAGAACTTTCTTGCATGGCTTATCAAGTTACCTTGGTAACTGTCACATTGTCACTTTTCTTTGTGCTGTGTGGACATGGCCTCAATGCTCTGCTGTCATAATACAGACACCCTGGGGGAGGTTTGACAGAATAGGAACATGACTGATGTGCTCGATGTATGATACGTGGCATATAGTTTATATATGTTTTGGAGAAAACACAAATAGAACATAAACATTGATCAACATGACACACTTCTCCTACTTCTAACTCAAACGTTCACACCAACCCAGTTAGCATTGTTTCCTAACAGGATGGCTATTTTAAACAAATGAACGAATAAACATGAAACCCACAGTCAATACCACACCTGCCCATCAGATTGGGATTCTGAGTGAATCTAATAATTCCCATTGGCACAGATCCTTCAGATCTGGTTGGAATGGCTGCCTGAAAAATAACCACCACAGGATTTCCCATCATTCCAGACATCTTCCCCCACTGCCTTCCCCATAAAGAAAGCCATGCATGTAGATGGGTGGTAATTTTCCAAGTGTGTCAGGGCATCTTTTCTGTTCCTTGAAGCTTCTCCTCTGGGTCCAGCTCTCTCTCCCAGCTGGGTCTCTGGGAAGCAGCCAGTCCCAGGCTAATGTGCTTCTATGTTATCTGAGGCTGCTACACAGGAGCGATAACGCTAAGTGCTAATTGGATGTATTTTTAAAGCAAACCTTTTAGTTGCTTAGGACAGAGCTTCTCCAATTAGCATCCCTTCCACTCTCTGGCTGTGCAAGAACCGCATTGATGAGCAAACGCTGGGTTTGGAAGGGAGTTGAAGGCAGCCTTGGAGAAGCTGAAGGGAGGCCATATTTAAGTCAGGGATGCTCTGAGCTAGAGAGGTGGGGGGCTGTGCTTTCCTGAGAGGAGGGGTCAGGGATGCTCTGATCTGGAGAGGTAGGGGTTGTGCTTCTCTTAGAGGGATGCCAAGGAGGGTCAGGCAGGTTGCAAGCCTCAAAAGTGTCCTAGAGTAAAGCTACCAAGCAGCCACATCCCTATAAGCCTGGGAGGGAAGACACCAAATGCCACTTAGGGAGGGGAGGAAGAGCCCAAGTTTCCTTATTTACATCCCTTTCTGTAATGAAAATAAAATATATCACTGCAAAGAATTTGAAGCCCAGCTTGGGACAGGTAGTTTCAAATTGTGTTCTCTAATAGGTTACCCTTGGGTTTGAGAAAAAAAAAATCAATTTTAAATCCTTACCCTTTTAAAGTAACCTGCAAGAGTTTGAAAGCCACTAAAAATGAAGGGCTTAGAAAAAGAGACAGGTTATATGTCAATACGGATAACAACGAGAGAGGTTGGGGGCAGAACAGAGGAGAGATCCATTTCTTACTGGCTTTGATTTCTGAGCTGGAAGCAGGGAGATAAATTTGCTAATATTTGTCTTTGTGATGGGAATGGATCTTTCTCCATGACACTGATTTTGTGGAATATTTTGTACCTATGACCACAGCGGACAAGAACTGGAGTGGGGTTGGCTTTTAAGTGTCAGAGACATTAGGATGACATTTTTGGGATATAGAAAGTTTCTGTGTGAAACAAGGACTCCAAAGTAGGGTTACATCTATGATGTACTAAAACCATTAACTTTGGAAAGAAGCCAAAGTTTGAGGACAGTAACTTTTAGCAGCTTGATAGACTGTTAGTCACCATGTCTTCATATCTAAATGAACATATACAAATATACTGTACCCATTTATGTATGTGTCACATCTTTCTGACACCATGGGCAGAATGTGGTCCCTCCTCTCTCTATTTGTGGGCATGGCCTCAATTCCCCAGTAACTGATCTCCTAAGGGATTTAAAACTTGGACTGGTACCAGGTGCTGTATTTTTTTTTATAAGCTATGCATAATTCTAGAAAGCACATACCTGATGGTTAGTTCTATCCACTGTATTAGCTGTGGAGGGGTGGTCTCTAGTGTTCTGACGGATTCGAGTGGAGTTCTGCTGTTCAATGGTGGAGGGGGTCGGGATGCAGAATTCTCTGAAGCATCGTTTGAAGTTTTCATCCAGGAACGCGTACAGAACCGGGTTCAGGCAGCTGTTGGTGTAACCCAAGGCAATGCAGAAGTGCCAGGAAACCGTCTGAAAGGTGGTCTCTGGGATCGTGATCAGGGCTTTGATGATGACGTAGATGTGGATGGGGGTCCAGCAGACAATAAACACAGCCACAACCACCAGCACCATCCTTGTGATCCTGCGCAGGTTCCTGTCCTTTTCTTTGGAGCCTGATAGCATGCGGACACTCTTGAGTCGCAGGATCATCAGTCCGTAACACACGGTGATGATGAGGACTGGCATGATGAAGGCGAAGATGAAGACACAGATTTTGAGCAGGTTTTCCCAGTACCAGGTAGGGTGCGAGAATGTGAGGGTGCAATCTATGGACCCTGGAAGAAAAGAATTTTCAATAAAAATTAGCAGTGACAATTTGTTATACTATTAAGACTGGAGTTGCCTTCTAATACCTTTAACCTGAGCTAAGTGAAGGTTGTTGCTCACACAGATAGGCAAGAAAGAATGAAAGAAATTAAGGAAGAAACTCATCAGTTGGTTACAGAGAATTCACCACCTTCCCCCCCCCTTCCTACATTTTCCATTTTTCCTGCTCACTTGGATCACATTAAGATTTTATGAAGTGAGAAGTTATGTGCATTTCACAATGAATCAGATACTCGTGGGGTTTATGCTGTCATAAAAGCTATAACCATTGTCTAAGGTGCCCAGGAATTTCCTGCAAATGGATGTTTCCCCTCTATGTCAGGAAGGCAGCTACTGTTAAGTCAGGACAGATAAATTTATTGAGTTGGCAACCACTTGAAAATTTAGAGCATTTACTTCTGGAGAAGTTATGTTCTCATTTATTCAATATTTTGATGAAGTTCAGAGAAATCAGCAATACGTAGACTTCATTCTTATTAAAATACCTAGAAGGCTTATAATTTTTATAGAAATCCTCCAATTTCAATGTATTTTCTTATTTCTTAATTAACTAATTTCCTAATTCAATGTACAGTTTGACAAAGACACTGTACCATGAATTCTGCTTGGCTCAGGACATCACCAACATATCAGACTATAATTACCCCCCATCCCTGACTCAGGCCCATGTTCACCCTTACCATGCCTGTATTTTGTGGTTGCCATGAACATTACAGGTAGACCAATGGCAGAAGAGATGATCCAGTTGCAGACATTAACAATTTTGGCATTTCGGGGGGTACGGAAATCCAGGGCCTTGACTGGGTGGCAGACGGCAATGTAGCGGTCCACGCTCATGGTGCAGAGGGTGAAGATGCTGGTGAACATGTTGTAGTAATCTATTGAGATCACGATCTTGCAGAGGATGGTTCCAAAGGGCCATGTTCCCATCAGGTAGTTGACACTCTGAAAGGGCAGTGTACTGGTCGCTAAGGCATCTGCCAGAGCAAGATTGAAAATGTAGATGTTGGTGGCGGTCTTCATCTTGGTGTATCTAGGAAACAGGAGAACATGGGAGGGATTGTTGGACACCGCCTGAAAGACAGGCGTTATTCCCTTAAGAAAACATCAATGGTTAATGGAAGACCCAGACAGTAGCACCAGGACTCTTTCAAAATAACAGTTGAGTGTTTACAACTGAGTGCCCATGAGATAGTCATTTCCCTAAGTATAATTTTTCTTTTCTATAAAATAGTTATTACAGTAGAAAACATGGCAATTTTTGCTGTTGTTTATTTAAGACAGTCTCACATATCTCAGATTGGCCTTGAACCTGCTATACAGCATGGCTAGTCTTGAACTCAAGATACTCCTACCTCTAACTCCCAAGTACTGGGATCATAAGTGTGCAGCATCACACTTAGCTTGTTTTGTTGTTGTTTTTATGTGGCGCTCATTATGATCGGTGTAATTGTCATGGGGAACTACTAGAGAGTGTGTTATGATACTAAACATATAAGAGAACGTTTTAGATGCATAGGTAGATTGTAAATTATGGGACACTGTTATAGTGTAAGGATGTGTGCTTCTCTACGTGCACATAGACACAATCGTAGGCACATCCATGTACTGGCTGCTATGGAGCATGGAAATGATCACTGGTACTGATGGAACAGGTGAGGGGCTAGTGAGGGGTAAAGCATCCCAGAAGCACATGTTTTCTCTTGGAGCCCGGAGGCTGGTATGAATAGATCATTCTGTGAGAAAAAGAACTCCATCAAGGGGTAGAGTTGAAATGGTACAATGAATATATTTGGCATGCCAAAGCATAAAATTCTCCCAGGAAATGGCAGTGAGTATGAGGGGGGAGTAATACAGAGGCCAGGAAGGAGGGGGAAAAGAGTATGTTGTGTTGAATAAGCCCTCACCTAGCGGTGATAGAAATTTAAGATCATGTTTAAAGTCTTTATTGAATTGTTATTGACATGGAAGAAAGTATACATAGTACGTACAGTTTGGTAAGTTTTGACATACATATATCTGTGAAATCACTATCATCAAAATCAGTGTTTGGTTACATGCATAAAAATCACTTCCTATTGCTACGAAGATTTTCGTTACTTGACTATACCCCAACCCCTTCACCCAGTCGTTTATCAGCAAGAAATAATAGATATACAGCTTTTGGCTGTAGTATATTAATCTATTGTGAACATCCAAATAATGTATTTTCCAACCTCCTGACTAAATAGCTAGGAGTGTTGTTTGTCTTGCAAGCCTACAGAAAATTGGATGAGGAGGTCCGGATGCTACGCAGAAGCATTTATAATAATAAACTAGATTGATGGTATAACACTTCCTGTACATAGTTACCACTTATTGGTTTTCCCATTTAGTATGCATGTAGTCAGTTTTGTTAAGTAGTATCCCAGCTTTACTCTGGAGAATGATCCTTTTCCATTCTTTATCTGTAAGCTGTGTTGTTAGTTAGTTCAGGGCATGGAGACGTTAAGAGATGGGGCTCACAGGAAAGAAATAGAGATGGCCTCAGGTTTCGGTGGTTCACATATTCACAGTTTGGCCTCCAGTGTGATGATGTTTAATAGTGAGAGGCATTTTCAGTGACGAGAGCAGCAGGAGATCTTTAGGCTATTTGTTCAGGTTTTGTTCTCAAAATGAATTGACTTACTCATTCTAACCCTGGTTGGTACTTGGCAGAGGGATGCTATAAAAGGGCAAGACTCACCACTTGCCCAGCATCTTTCTGGGCTTCCTCTGGCCAAAAGGTACCGTCCTCTAGCATGAATGCCTGTCATGACATCAGCTGGGATGTGACACAAAGAAGGGCCCTCACCGGAGTTGGTGCCATGCTATTTAGAATTTTGGCCTCTAACATTGTAATCTGTATAAACCTCTTTCTTTCATTTATTATTCAGCCTAAGTTATTTTTCCATACACATGGGAAGTGAGCTAATTAAAAAAACTAGAGTTTTTCCCCCACCAGGGGAGGCTTAAAAAAAAAAAAAAAAAGGGAGTCAAACCTGAGAGATTTTGTGGTCTACAGTTGTTGGGAAAACTCATTATAAAATGGGCTTTCAAAGCCCCCATCTTAGGATTTTTAAAGAGCACAAGAGAATGCAATCCTGGAAGCAAAGGCTTCCTTGAACTTTGCATTTACAGACGGTAGTAAGCGCCTTTTAAATTTCAGTTTAGGTTTAGAGGTTTTCTGTCAGGTGAGGTTAAAAATCTAACTCATTCAGCCCCAAACAGCTGATTTCTGTGAGCTACGGTATTATGGAGCCTCTGGTAGAGGGGCCTTAACTCAATGTTCCAAGACTGTTTTAGTCTCCATGAACAGCAGGAGACTGAACCTTCAGATGATTTCTTCGGCATCACCAGGACCAAGCAGCTGAGACCATTTCCTGAGTTGCCCTTTGGACACCTGGTGCACTCTGCAGAACTTGCAGAATAACTGGGAGATTTCAGATGCAAGGCCATACTGAGTTGTTCTAGAGCCGTCACTTCCCGAAAGGGTTTTAATATTGGAGGGCAGAGACAGCCAGTTAACGTGGGATAAGTCAGTGTGATTCAGTAAAGACCATCTACCTGACAAACACAAGGTAGATAATTCCAGCAGAAGAAAATGTTATGGAAATCAAATTATAAAAGCGATTCTAAGATTTTAAAATCACTCACTTTGATGTTCAAGACATTGAAACAGTTTTGATATTTTGATAATGGAAAGATTTTCCCCAAAGCAGAAAATGATTTTTTTTTTGAAGATAAGCTATTGATGATTGGCCTGTGACTCAAAGCATACCTTATGACATTAGTCACACTCTGGAGAGAGGACCTTAAGGCAGTTTTCTGACTCATTACACTCTCAGCATTTTCTTTAAACTTATTTGCTCACCAGCTACTTGGAATGCATAATTTATTTCAGTTAAAATAAATCGTTTCCTCCCTTGGAATAGGGTGCTCGCGAAGCAAAATTTGATTAGCATTTATCATGCAAGGAGGGTGACAGGAGGGTATATTAATTTTTCCATCCTACAACGCATATGCATATCACAGTATCAAATGACATGTGGTTAATATGTGCGATATGACCTGCCAATTAAATCGAGCAAAGCAAATATTATAAAGATCTCTCCATTGGCATTTTATGGGAGCACTGATACTTAATTTTTCTTATTATGTCTGTAGACCCTTGCTCTGAAGCAACCTGGAATTTTGATGCCAGTTACTTGTGCTTTGGGTCTTATCACTAGCTCTCTAAATGTATGAACAAGAAGTGTAGACCCTGGAGGTTTGGTGATGCCATCAGCGTACATAGTCTTTCATCCGGAGAGAAGGTTTGCTTGGGGAAGGGGTAGAGCTATGCAGCAAAGGAGGCTTCCATCCTGTTCTGCTCTGATGTGGTGGCATGAATTTTGTCCTAAGAAACTTAAAGGAATTATCAGAGACACACTAGATGCCATAAGGAGTGAGCAAGCCAAAGTTATCAAGTAAACAAAGAAGCAAGCTAAAGGAAAGACCATCTTTGCCATTCCCTTTGCTTGAAAGGGTCTTGGTAGAACCCATGGGTATTAAATACAATCCCATCTCCATCCTTTAATTTTTCTGCTCTGTGAAAAGTGAATGGCAGTAAAATGAAGGACACGAGCAGGTACTCAAAGTGACTGAGCGAGGCATATCACCTGGGAGACTGTCCTCTGGACTCCCAGGCCCTTCCTGGGGTTCGGTGCACCTTTCTCTACTAAGCAGTGACCAAAATACTGTATTCCTAGTTAGCACCTTAAAAGTTTCATAATAAATACTTAAGACATGTATTATAAATGATTGATTGTCTATGCTCTGTAAGGCATCGCTATGCAAAATTGCTTCAAATATTGTGTCCATCTTACGACCATCAATGTTTGACTACCAGGGTATCTGTCCATACAACCCGGGGTCCTAGGCCAGGGTGAGGCATTACAAGGCCTCTTTCATTGGTACCTTTCTGCTCTCATATGGCACATGTGTATCTTTTGTCTATAAATGTCTATCCTTTGTATGTGGTTATAAAGCAACTACGATCTGTCACCACATGCATTCTTCAGCCCGTTTCCGTGATTACTGCTATTTTCTAAGCCTGCACTGATTTTAGCTTAGTCAGGGTAAAAGAAACTGCAGCAATTCAAGCTATCTATGTGGTGATCTACTGGTGGCCTTGGTCAGTCTTTCTTCTGATTGGTTTTTGAGTTAATTCTTCACATTGTGATGACTCTTAGTTCAGAAGTAGAACTAACAGAGGAAGGCTGCAAACAGGGGGAATGCATTTCCCAGTTTGGTTTGATGGCTTTATTTATTTGTGTCATATATCCTTCACATAGTTCGCCCCTCCCTCCATCATACTTTACGTGTTTTCAGCAAAGCCCACGAGATTTGTAGAAGAAAAATCTCCTTGCCTTGGGCCCCTACTAACCTTTCAGATTTTTACCAATTTGAGCAAGGAAGGAAGAGGTTTAATTCAACAAGGCTTGTTGAGTTTCTTTTATAAATTTGTCATGGTATTGGAAATGTCTCCTTGTTTTGCTGTGACCTTTGTGTCCACATCCCCACACAAACATCCATATTGGTATTACCCTTTGAATCTCATATGATGAATGAGGTAAGTCAAATGCATGAAATATACGTGCTTGTCCTCCATTGCAGGTAATTAATTATGCAAGTGGAGACATTGTCAAGTGAACACAAGCCTGAATTTTCCCATTGTCATTCACTCTGAGGTGTATATGAGTGAGTGGATGGGGCTGAGGAGAAGCAGGAAATGAGGTGGGGCGGGGGAGAGGGATTCCATAATAACAAGTCACAAAAGAAAACTATAGTTTTCCATGACTATAGAAAGAGGCCATATGTTAGTTTACTATTTTCTGTTAATAGTTTTCACTATTTTAGTTAAGGAGGAAATAGATCTCTCTGTAAAATGCTTAAGCATTTCATTTGTGTGTCTCCCAAAGCCATGCTATGTGGTCATTGATCACATTTCCCTTAGCCAGTACTAGCAGAGTA